TTTTTTTTTGCACAAAATATTTCCGTTGTGTTCGGTCAACAAACAGATGAAATGAATAAATGAAAGGTCGACGAGCAGCGAGCAAGCGTTCACCGAACGCACCTGGACGACCGACTGGTAATGCCACCGGAAGCTATCTGGCACCAAAGCTGCTTGATATGATGCGTGCTGGTGGTGGTTCAGGCAACAATCACCGGTCAATCGACAGTTCAAGGATCATGAAAACCATGATTTGTGTTTGGCGAGGAATCATCGTTGGTGTTGTTGGTTGCCATCCACTACTCAGACTGCTTTGATTATTCGGAATTAAGTCTGCAACCAGTTGGTTTCACTGGCACCAGATGATTTGGAAGAAGTACACGGAACTGTGCGTTCATTTAATGCACTGCTTCAGAGGTATGCCTAGCTCACGCGTCTCGATAACTTGCCGTGGGGGTGAACTGTGCGCTTTCCAGTTTGCTGGCCTTCCATGCACGTTCACATCTTCTGCACCGAAACAGTATGATGCATCCGCTTAGTGCCACTGTTACTTCAAAAAAGTAATACAATACAGGTGGGGAGCAGTTATTTTTGCTGTGGCGGTAGTCGAGTGTGCACAAATATTTGCATGCGTGGGCGTGTGATGATACGCTCGGTACTGCAGTCAAGAATCTGTTTGCTGAATACCTTCCCAACGAAATTCGGCTTTTCCCAGCGCCATTTTGACGTCAAGTCGGCTGCGATTAAAATTCCCTGCTACTCTGGATTAAAATTGGTAGCATTACTCAGCAATATCTGCTCGACGTTGCGTTCCGGAGAACCGAATGAGGTGTCTAAGAGCAGCTTTTCAGAGCTCACTGATGAGAGCTACTTCAGACCTAAACATTTCCAAACACACACAGAGATTACCCAGCCGTGCCCCAGCCACACTCTCTGCAGCACTTCTCGAGCTAAGATGTAATACTTAGCGTGAGTTGCATCGTATCAGTTATCACTCCTTCGCATTTCACCCCCAACCCAGTGAGAACAACTGAGCACTTTTCCAAAGCCAATTACATTTTTGAGCTTTTCAAAACCCATTTTACGCATAAAAATATGAGCATACCTAAAATAAAAGCTGCACTTGGAGATTAGCATGACTATTCCATGTGTCTTTAAAGTAATATGTTCCAAGTTCCTACTATTATATGGAAATAAACTGTAATTCCACGTGTAAATAATCCTAAAACTGGAATCCGAATTACATATAAAACTTCGCCAAGTATTATTTGGTGCTAAGCTAAAAAACAACTTTGCGGAATACAGTGACATTTCCTAAACTGGCACTGAAGTCATCCATTTACAAAAGAGAAATTCATGAAGAAACAAATCAATCAGCACAAAATCCAATCAGAGCAATGCAGAACCCAGTACTATAAATCTAAATTAAAAGGATGCAGGAACCAAACGCGAAGTGCTAATTGGAAGTCCGGAAATTTTAAATTTAATAAAGCCCTGGAAATAAATTTAAAAACAGAATCAAAGCTTGGAAATTTTAATTGCTAGAATATTATTGCTAGAATTTTAGAATATTATAGCAATAATATTCTAAAAAAACTGTGCTAAGGGAAATGTAAACAAACCAAGTGATGGTCTAAATTTTGGTCAAACTGTTTGTCAGAGACGCGTCCTGCTACCAAGCACCAGAACCGGACGGCTCATTCATTTTGCCGGAAGCCTGGTGAGCCGAATGCTCGGTGCAATGATCAAGCCGACTCATCCACACTACAGATAGACATCATTATGTACAACTGGTTCAAAATACACTATGACTCAAGCACGCCAGTGATGTGTTTTCATCATCTGATTGTTCATATTCCAAAACAGGACCTAAACGGCATTCTCGAGCTTTAATTCTCGTCTTTTCTAGGACTGCATGTCTGAAACAACAATTGAGCCGCTACAGTACAAAAGGCGGTGATCCATTATTCAAATTCAAACAAGTTTTAAAACAAAACCCAGGCTGGAACGTACCAGGCTCTCCGGTGCGATCATGCGTTTTTGCACTAAACTCGCAGATC